TCTTTCTCAGTCCTCCTCGCACCCTGGCCATGTGCGACACATTAGCTGGACTGTCCATTGTTTAGCTCATTATCCAAATTTTGTTGCAAAGGCAAAATTGTCAGGACACTATATCTTGCAGATGTGTTAGCCAAGGCTGTTAGGGCCTGTCGGGGTTCCGTGAGAAGCGCCTGAAGGATGAGGCATTCAGATAGGTGACGATACGGCAGAGAAGGTTGGGGGCCACGCAGCTATCCTTTGGGCTCAAAGCCGGGTTCGGCAGCGCCCCGAGCAGCTCCAGCAGGATGGGCTGCGTTTCATCGGAACCTTGTTGGCATTCGCATTCACAGGCTGTGCATTCTGCTTTGTGCAAGCTTCCTTGGCTGGGCCCCTTAATGTGGAACCCTCCGGCCGACTGACACCGCGATCAAACTCGCAGTCTCGCCACTGAAGCGCTACCCTCACAACTCAACAATCATGCACCAAATTTGCAGACGCCGAAATCCTAAACCTTAGGCCAGTACTCGACTTCAAGCTGCTGTGACTGTGAAGCCGGCAGCAGTCACTAGCAAGACAATGCATTTATCGCCTTGTGCAGGCGGAGGGCAACTCAAACGTCCACCGCAACTTGCCATGTATGGGAGCTGGCTGCTTCGTAGTTGGTTGAGGCGCAGATGGCAGAGGAGCAGAATCGGCGGAATGCCCGGGAGCCGAGACGAGAAGAGTTTGCCTGGGATCAGAAAGACATGATTCGTATGTTGCCACAGAAGGGAGTTGCAGGATTAGGGCAAGGGGTTTCCATGAGAGTGTTGGCCATCTTGATGTGTTTGGGTTTCATGGAGACGTAGTTGATGCAGATGGAGACTTCGGAAAATGTCCGAAAACTTAACGAGATGACGGACCGCAGGAGGCAACAGTTATCAGCTGGCAGAATTATGGGGATTCGCCCATCCTTTTGCAGCATTATGAGACAGAGACCGAAAGAAAGACAGACAGAGACAGACAGTGACAGAAACTGACGGGGTACGCTTTCAAGCCTGGTGAAAGAAAGAGACAGACAGAGACAGGCAGACAGACCGACCGGCGGACGGACGGACGCACGGACGGACCGACGGATACACGCACATGTAAGTAAGTAAGTAAGTATGTCTGTCTGTCTGTCTGTCTGTCTGTATGTACGTACGTACGTACGTACGTACGTACGTACGTATGTATGTATGTATGTATGTATAGGCAATGTTTTGTTATGCGTGCCTACACATATACAGATGCAGATTCAGATGCATGTGCTTGTACAAGTATGCTCCTTTGCAGATTCAGGTATACGTATACATCTGCATGCAGAGATACATGTGTGCATCTATCTAAGTGCGAATGGACGGATGGATGGATGGATGGATGATGGGTGGATGTATGGTAATCATGCAACATAATGTCATGCAATCTAACGTATTGTAATGCAATGTAACAGAGGGTCATGACATGTAATGTATGGTATGATAGTGTTTGGTAGGGTAGGCCATGCATATATGTAGATGTAAGTTTATAAAAGACTATATGCTACAAAGACTATATGCTACTGTAGACTCTATGAAATTTACTATTTACCACGCAAATCATCTCAAGTGGGTTTCTGCAGCACCTGGTGCAGATGGAAGCTATGCAGCGGGCCATGCAAGGCCCTGAGATGCAGCAGGCCATGCAGCAAAGCGCCTGGACAGCATGGAACAGCGTTTGAGTTGCAGTACTGGTCCAGACACAACATTCTCAATGATGCTGTAGTTAACGGTTGCTGCCACGACGACTGATCTTCTTCACGACTACGACCACGACTAAACTTCTACTACGGCTACGGCTACCTCCACTACCTCCGCTTCCTCTGCTACTGCTACTGCTGCTTTTGCTACTGCTGCTGCCGCTGCTCCTGCTACTGCTCCGGCTACTGCTACTGTACTTCTGCTACTGCCACGGCTTCAAACTGCTTCTGCCACTGCCACTGCCAGTGCTGGTGCTACTGCTACTCTCGTGCTCCTGCTCCTGCTGCTCCTGCTGCTGCTACTGCCACTGCCACTGCTACTGCTACGGCTATCGCTGCCGCTGCCGCTACAGCTACTGCTGCTGCTGCCGCTGCTACTGCTGCTGCTGCTGATTACTGCTTGCTGCTTTTGGCTTGCTGCTTACTGTCTTCTGAGTTTACTGCATACTGCTTACTCTATTCTGCTCACTGCTCTGTGCTTACTGCATTCTGCTTGCTGCTGACTGCTTCCTGCTGCCTGGCTACTGCTGGTGCAGCTGCTACTACTACGACTCTCCGACTACTGCTACTACTACGACGACGACTGCTAGCTACTGCGTCGACGTTGGATTATTTCATCTCGTGAATGGGGCAGCACGGAATGAGCATGCCCATGCACCAGCATTCCTAAGCCCTTGGCAGCCTCTGACGGCGGAGGTATGCAGATGATGAGTGATCCAAGGATGCAGGCAGCTTGGCAGGTCAACGACCTGATGGTGTCCTGAGCCACATGAATTTGGGGTGGAGGGCTTGTAGGTTCCGGAGGACGTCTTACGGTGTTGTGCGCGTGCCTGGCCCAGGCAATGCTTCAGCAGCAGTTGAGCAATCCGACGACCCAGGCGATGATGCAGCAGATGGCTGCCAGCTGCTTGGCCCGACAGATAGGACTTGTGTCCAGCCAGGCCGGCGAGCCATGAGCATCACCCAAATGAGTGATGTCATAGGCAGGTGCTAGGCAGAGCGGATCGACATGTTTGTGCACATCCTGACAAACTTGGCAGGGTTTGCTGTGTTGTATCAGCTCAAACAGCTTCGCAGCTTCAGGCAACCCGGCCATCCAACAGATGCTCGCTGCCCAAGGCCACTTAGCTGCGAGGATGCCGGTGGGACGTGTAGGGAAGCAACCCAGAATCAGCATCATCATGTTCATGGTCTTCATGATCTTAATGCTCATCATGACCATGCTGGTAATTCTGAGTGGGCAATGTTCATCGAGTTCATCGACATCCATTGTGAGGTTGCAAATGAAGTTTCAACCATAGCAGTGGTAGTTCTACGATAGGGGCACCAGGCGCATCACAGCCGGGGCTTAGACGCTTCGTGGGCTAAGTCACGAGCGAACTCTGGCTCGACTTGTCAGGTGCATCAGGTGCGCCGGCGGTGGCGGGCGCCCCGCCGCCAGTGGTAGTGGTGGAAGCAACTGTCGTTGGTCAAAGCGAGCCTGTAAGGGAAACAGCACCTCCGGCGAGTGGCAACGCCCAAGCATGAAGTGAGGTGTGGCGCTGTCTGTGTACAGCCACGAGCACGTTGTTGCCGAATCCTCCGGGTGGGCAGGGCATATCAGGGCATGTGCAGGGAGAAACGGAATGATTTTCATTTCAGAAACTTCCCACCCTCAATCTCTCAACCTGACGGGAAGTCCCGTCATCAGCCCCTACACGAACGTGTGCGCGGCTGTCACCATTCTGTACAGACGGGATTGACCGCACACCGCAGTTTTGCGGTGGAAAGAAGCCAGCAGCACTCGGGATGCTGGCAAGTGGTGATCGCAGACGGCTGACTCAGGCGAAAAGAGCCGATGCCCTCTTCTGCATGGACACTGTGGTGTTAAGACCGCAGATGCAGCAACTACCTGCAGCAGCAACACGTGCAATGTCGCCGTCCACCCCGCATGCTGAAGGATACTCGGCTGCAGAGAAATGCTCGACCTTCGCCAGCTGAGGAATCGCTGCGCGAGACAAGGGAAGCAGACGAGCGAAGAAGAGCGAAGAAAGGTGCGGCAGGGCAGGAATGACGGCAATTCGTTGTTGGAAAAGAGCTATTTTTACTTGTCCTCTACCTGACCCTACCCGGAAAATCACAGGCGTGCTCGGTCGGCTGAGCGGCAAGACAGAGGCAACTCGGACATGGCGAGTCAAGCGAGCCTGAAGCCAGATGGCCCATGAATCGATGTGAACGCAACCAGTGGAAGAGCGAATTAGAGACAGATTCGGCACCTGCAGAACTTCTCTAATTCCCTCCACACGCAAGCATAGTAGAGACCTCTCAAGGACATGCCCCGCGAAATCCTCCGAACGAAGCTCCTTCCTGCAAAGCTAGAGGCACTGCTGAGCGTGGGGCTGACTCCCCCGAAGATGGGCTCCAGCAAGGCTGCTCGGTTTGGGATTGCGCATTTCACTCCAACGCATTCTGACAACCGATTCAAGCTTGAAGACTTGGGCTGCAAGAATCTTGTTGAGTGTCCGGCGAAAGCCCGGAGCGAAGCCCTGAGGCGACCGAAGCCACTGCGGGTCCGCGCATGGTGCGCTTGGAAACAGGCTCGAAATATCGGCGTCGGAACCGGGAGGTCGTTTTGAAATGGTTGAGGTGAATGGCTGCGGGTTGACGACGATCTGGTGGAACAGTATCCTGACGACGAGGCCAGCAGCTGAACGTCCTGGTCAGAGAAAGTTCTTGTTGCATGACTCTGCATGACAGCTAGAAACAGACATGTTTTAGCCAGGAGAAGTGGCGAGCACTCATGGCCTTCCGGACGCGCCTGGCGCAGAGCGGTGAGTCCGAGGGCTAAAAAAACCGCTGACTCGAATACAACCCAGCTCGTCTTTCGACCGCTAGTCCTTGTATCATTTTTCATTCTTCTTCTTGTCATGATTACTGCTATTATGAAAAGTAATTTGCTACCGGGCAGAGTGCCCTGAGCCATAAGACGAACAAGAAAGAGATCCTGGTCATGAGTCATGACAAGAACGCTGAGACTAATTACTTCGGTTTGGAAGCCAGCATTATGAAAGACCCAGCCTGGTACTGATACAGTACACAGCTCTGTCCAACTTGTGCCTTAACGGAGAACCCCCCGCCATGTAAAACGCCTCGAGGGTGGGGAAAGGAACCGAGTTCGGGGTTTCAGGGTTCCTGTTCGTTTTCGGTGCGAATTCGCACTGATAACCCGGCAACACCTCAGGAGGGGCTGCAAAGGGTTCGCTGCCTTTGTTTCGGTTTAGCGGCCATGAGACGATGGGTGGTGATGCACCTGCTGCCGCTGCTGCCGCTGCTTCCCGGGGAGTCGCTGGCCGTTGGGGAGGCTTTTCGCAAGGCCGGGAGCAAGGAACGGGCTACAGCAAAGCAGTCCGGCCGACTCCTGTGCATTCCTGTGATAGCCATGTAGAGTCACGCGCCTTCAGGCTTAGAGCCATGTCTGGTGGTGCTGGTTCAAGATTTCGTATATCATGGGCCCGCAGGTGCACTTGAAGCTCATCGCTGCACCTGGCGACGGGACGGCCCTTGGCAGCATGTGTTTGCTTTTGCTCCATCAACGTCGATACAGAGCAAACCGCGGACTTAACTAGCCAAGCCTTGAATGAGAAGCAGCCGGTCTTGACCCCTTACCAGCAGGGTCTCCAGACAATCTTGTCCGATGGTGGATCTTTGCGATGTTGCTCTGTGCTGCGGGCTTCCCCAACCGAATTGATTGAAGGAGCTTTAGCCAATTTAGCTACCCAAAACCCTCAAGCCTTGCCAGGCAGATGGCTCATTTCGTTACGCCTTGGTTGAGCAGAAGCCGATCCTGGGAGCATGTCGCTGGACCCAAGCACTCCTGGTGGGAGAGGCCATGCTGTCTGCATGTCGGAGAGATTCGGAAAGTGAAGCATCACGGGCTCAGACTGTGCTCGACAACCCTCAGACTGCTTCTCTGTGCGATGCCTTAAACCTCCTCTTTCTCCACCCCCTGGCTCGCTGTCTCCGTGTCCTGTCCAGGCAATGCTGCAGAGCATGGGCCTGCAAGACTTGGAACAGGTGAGGAATGTTCCTCGGTTCAGGTCATCAGAGGGACGGGCACAGCAAAACAAAGCAACTTTCACGAAACGGCCCTGAGGAGGCCTTACCCCCGCGCAACTGCACTAGACTGCCTGGTAGTCGGATGTCTCAGTGTCACAGTGGGGCGCAAGTCCGGAGGCCATGTGTAGTTGCACGAGCTGGGAACCCGCGGTAGTTCTGTGCTGGTGGGGTAGCATGTGCTCCACCATTGCTCCGAAGAGGTTGGTTTGATTAGGCCAAGTTGTTGCTGCCTCAATCCAGCTGGTAGGTTTGGCTGTAGAGTATGTCAAACTTTCTGTTCTTGCTGCACCACATGCATCGGTCACACCCTTCGTCAGGTTCGGAGATGTGGACCGTCCATGGCATATGGCTGTACCCTCTACGATGCATCTACCATCGCCTCAAGCTTATTGGCCGTCCCTTGTTCTGTAGGGCCATCAGCAGTACCCGTACTCATTTCAAACACACTATGCTCCTGAATGAACTGGAAGTTCAGAGTGTTCTTCGTCCGTTGGCACCAACGTCCAGAACTTCCATCGTGAAGAGAGCTAGCTTTATTGCTTCTTTGCGCTCAGGAAGTGTTTCGGCGGAAGGCAGGCCGAACTTGAATTAAAGCATGGCTGTTGGGAAGCTGCCGTAGCCAGCATCATGTGTCTCAGTCGGAAGAATTAGTCATGCCCGGAGTCCTGGAGCTTGATATCTGTGCACCGTTGCCATCACAGGTGCCCGACGGCTTCGATGCCTTCTTGATCCTTAGCTGCAGCCCGCAAAAACGATGGCCTTGCGGGACAGAGTTGGCTTCGAGCCAAGTAAGGATTGGAGACTACTTTTCGGCTCTTGAGATCGGCTGCCCTGACTGGGTTCTCAAGGACGAGGACGCCACCTGCGTTAAGAGTTGCTTCGAGTCTTAGTCGGGATCCTGCTCTCCAAAGTGCCGCGACCGGGCTCGGCGATTTGCAGGAAGCATATCTGGAGGTAGGCCTTCCAGGGCAGCCCGCTCTTGATCCGCAAAGCTGGGAGGCCTGGTTGGCGAGGCAATGTGCACCCTGTTGTCATGCTCAGTGGCAGTGCCACAGCCGGTGCGATAGGGCAAGATCTCGCATCGATTTGGGTTGGCTGTGTTCTGCAACGGCTTCTGTGCAGAAGGCAGATTCCTGCGCTACTTCGGTATTCACGAGCAGTCGCAATGTCTGGTGACGCAAGTTCAGTCTTCGTCTCCTCTGACAGCATTCGGCCTCGCGGCATCAGCATTGCAGGCACTTGCCACCGTCTCAACTTGAGCCTCGGCATCGGCCCCCATCGGCCCACAGAGGAGTGAATGGAGTTACTACTCATTCCTCTGCAGCACCGAGGAAGACCACCGTCGGTCCAAAACTGGGAGCCTGTTGGAGAGGACGCCTAAGCTCCGTGTTCTGCCAGGTTCACGCAGCACAGCTGAGGAAGCAAGAATTCGACGATGTACTTGTACAGTGATTCTGACGCTTCGTTGTTTAGGGTTTCGGTAAAACCTGCGCCAGTGTGGGGGCACAGGTGTAGCAGTGTTCCACCCAGTTCCTCACACCGGGAGAGACCGGTTACCTCTAAAATGCCTTTGCGTGGCTGGCACCACGTTTGTTGCCACAGGACCCTGGCAGCAATTCCAGACGTTTGCACACACAGTGTTTCAGCCGCATGTGATGATCCAAAGTTGTCGTTGGTCGGACCTTCCAAGTTTCCACATGTTTCCACTTAGGTGTGACGGACGTCTGGGAAGCGCTTTGGCCCGGCACAGCCACGGCGACAGAGAAGCCCGGCACTTCAAGGGACAAGCTTGGTTTTGTTGTTTAGACGTGTCCAAGCGTTGAAAGATTGAAAGAAGAACACCGCCAACGGAGGATGGCTTTGAAGGAACACCGAAGGGCTAGCCGTACAGCCTGTGCAGCGCCAACGGAGGATGGCTTTCACGAAACACCGAAGGACTGACTGTGCGGACTCTATGAAGAACATATGAGTCTATGCTTTCTGATAGTTGGTGCAACAATCAATGTGTCTGTGCTTTTCCGCACAGCCGTGAAACTCGGCTTCCGATCGACAGGTCTCACGCTTCAAGCACCTGTGAGAGAGAGGGGGAGAGAGAGATGTGTCCATGAATGCCTGGTTGTGAGAGACAGAGAGAGTGCGAGAGAGATGCATGTCAACAAGGGGAGAAATCCCCCCTTCGGAGCTTTCTCCGTGTACCATTAGACGGGCCGCAAGAGCCATTCCATGCTAACCATACCACCTCCGCTCGAGGCACAAATTAGTTGCCGCATGCTCAGACACCACAAGGGATTGCTCCTCTAGTGTTGTGTTGTTTTGCTTTGCCCTTCCTCTCCCCGGGGAAATCCCTCGTCAGATTTCGAATCTTTGCAGCTAGAAGGGGACTACCCTTGATGCCTGGTGTTTGTTTTATTTGGTTTTAGTCAGCCTGGTTTGATCTCGCACCGGGGAATCTTCCTTCGCAACTTTGCTGCACACTTCGATCTTTCAGCAACAAGGCATCAGTCATGTATATCCTTTTATGACTTTGTGTCTTTACCGCGGCGAGCTGATGCCTTTTGCCTTGATGTCGTGAGCCGTATCTCAATGGGCCAAATTAGCCTTTTTTGAGTGCGCCTTCCCAAATACGCCCTCTGCACCAGTCAGGGGCGCCGACTGGCGCGCGGGCAAGGGGGGCACATAACCCTGCCAAAAGAAAGAAGATGGAACAAAACTGGGTCCCCGGCCTGTCAACCAGCAACATCATACCCTCACACATGTATATGCTGTGTACATGTTTATGCTGTGCTGTTAACAGTGGGGGACACAGAGCAGAGAGTAGTAAGCTTGCAATAAACAGCGAGCACGTACACCAGAGCCGGTTGTCGGCTTGCGGAGATGGGGCCTGGGGGTTGGGGTCATTAGTTCAATTCAGGGGGTTGCAACAGCGAAAGGGGACCTCATCTTGCACAGCAGTCTTCCAGCTGACGACGGTGGACAGGGCGCGCCCGTGCGGGGAGTGGGTAGGGTTACCTGCCTGCTCTTGTCTGTGTTGAAGAAGAGAGAGATGGAGGGGTAGCCCTGGCGAAAGAAAGAAAGATGGAGGGGTAGGCCTTCGGGCCAGGGGACCCCATACCCCAAGCAAGCAAGCAAGCAAGAGATGTTAGGCGGGGACCTGCTCGCTCTGGGCTGTGTGGAAGAAGAGATGCTGGACGCCGGGACTGCCGGTGCTTCACACCCCTAGCAAAGCAAAGCAAAGATGTTGGACGTCCTGCACGGCTCCCTAGCAGGAGAGCTCTCTCTGCAGTTTCCCTTGATTCGGCCAGACCTTCCGGAAATCTTCTATCCAGGCGATCTTCATAACATACATTCCTGCTCAGGATAATAGCGTGACCGGAGTGTCGTGTGGCAATACTTGTTCAGCATGCCAGCACTCATGCCAGCCATCTATCTGAAGCCTTCCAAGCTGTGACTTCGACAGTCTGTCTAGCGAAACTAGTGCATGCAGCTAAGCTGAGGATGTTTGTCGTTGGATGTGGCGCATTGAACGCAGAGCCGACACAACCGCTCGTGGACAAAGGGGCTGGCGGATTGCCACTCGACGAGGAAGTTCCAAGACAGGGCAGAACGTTTCAGTAAACTCTTGGCACGATCCTGGTGCCGACACGGTACTTGCAGGCTTAACTGTAGCAACTAGTACCGGGCCCCGCAACCTCATGATTTGAAGTGGCAGCATGTGACAGCCTTTCGCCAGCCGTCTTTCAACTTCGCGAATCCAAAGTGAACGTGAGGTTCATTGACCGAGATGAGAAAGGTGTGAAGCTGGCCAAGCACACCGCTTCGGCCGGCAACCGGCTCTTCCTCAACACAACGGTGCCTGGGAAGAGTTACTCGTAGTCGCAGCTTTGATGACAGCCAGTGTGGATGCCAGCGCAAACACAGTGCAGCCGAGCTCTTCAAGTCCGGGAGCCTCGAGCCTTCGCCAGACTCATGTCGTCAGATTCCCTACTTGTCTCCGGTACATGCTGCATTGCTGCAACGTGCATGATCAGGTGCGGCCGGGCGACGTAGGCCACCTCCTGCGGCGGCATGCCGCCTTTGTGCGGAATGTCGAGGCTCCACAAACCAGTCACAAACTCCAGAGCGCCGACTTCCAACCTGTGTCGCTGTGTCGGTTGGGTATGGGTTATTGCGGAGGTGTGATGAAGATGCCGCTGTGCAATCGCAATGTTGCCTTTTTTTGCATCGATTTCGAGGTGCTTCAGGTGGACATTGACACGGTGGACGGGGCAGTCGTGCAGGCATTGGGCAGGGGACTGAGGAGGGCAAGTTCGTCTGTTTGGGGGGGGATGCCTGGAAAATCATGTCCCTAGATTTCAATGCCTTCGCTACGGAAAGCCATGAGCATGGAGTCGTTTGGGTGCGTGTCATGGTTTTAGAAGGTCTTTGGGGTCAGACTGGAGCTCGGGCTTTGGCGTGACGGAGTTGTGTGGAGCCTTGTTTGCCCAGTGCGAGAGTGAGAGTCGAATGCAGTGAAGAAGAGCAGAAAGGGCGGAGCATCATCTGCGAGTGCAGGCGGCTCTGGACCACATGCATCCCAGGGCCGTGGTCGTGGAGGTCTCTTGTGCACATGCGCGACATGAGTTAGTGAACAGTTAGTGACTAGACTCCGACAGATGGCTCCTTTTGCCCAGAGAAGCAATTCCAGGTTCGCGACGTCGTGCCATTTCCGATCCGACGCTGGTCTTGTCCTGGGTTGCATTACCGTGGCACTGCATTGCCATGCGTGAATATGCGTGAATGCTTTCTAGTGGGACCACTCTGTGGCCGGGTCGCCTGTTGATCTCCGCATGGTCCAAGTCATGCACACCTAGAGCGCGGAAATGCTTCCCCACGGATAGGACGTGATGGAAGATAGGTCTTTGCGAGGCAGGTGGAAAAGTCATAGTAGGTGTCCTTATCAGCCAAGGCTACACCTGCCTCGCGCAGGATACCCAGGGTGTCGCGTTGGGAGGCTGGGAGTGAGTCTACTTCCAAAGCCTGGCTAGGTTGGAGGAGGAACCAAGAACCAGTCGATCAATAACGAGTCCTCGGCGGAGAGAAACGCCAGGTCGTACTTCGTGAGCTGAGATATGATGAAGACTACGACGTATTCCCATCGTACACTATAGTCACGTATAGCGAACCTGTACGTTGCAATCATGCCGCTCATTGCCCTCCCATACCTGAAGGGGCCAATTTCGCTTTCTGGGCGTACGAGCTGCAGCGCCGCGGCTACCAGTTGGCCCGTCTGGATTCCCGGGATGCGGTGTTCGTCCGTGAAGAGGAGCCGGCTTATCGGATTTTTGTCGGATTTTGTGATAGCCCTTAGGTTCGTGCAAAGGGCAGGATGCCTGGCCTGGCTGCCTCAGACCTTCTCGGTCCGACAATTGGATCCCTGGCCGCCACGGGTTCCTAGCTTTCATCTTCTGCTTTCGCGCTGGAGGAGGCAGCTCCTTCTACCGATCGGCTTCTGGGAACACTAGGCTGCTACTTACTGTGCCTTCGCAAGCAAGCAGAGTCTGCGGAGTTGGGCTATTCAGAGGGCTTGCATGTGTTAGTTCTGTTGCTGGGTGGTCCGTGTTCGACAATCGCAGCGGTGCCTCTAATTCGGCCTCTGGGCATTAATTGAGATCAGCCCCCTGGTCAGTCACTACATGCTGGCACCCGAGCCGACGCAGTTCTTTCGACGTGAGGCGCGATTTGTGGCAAAGTAGCTTAAGTGCTTGTCGAGTCTGCCTCGTGCTCGTTTGCATGAAAAAGTCGCTTTGGCCGACATGCTTCCACAATCTCGCGAAGCTATTCTTGCTGCTAGCACCCCACCTGGCTCCCTTCGAGATCTGACCAGGACCAATCAGTCCAAGTCCAATCATCAAGATTGCGGTGGCACTGGCTGCTGTCAGATCCAGATCTTGTCCCTCGGAAAAGAAAGCGAGAGCTTGTGGTATCATGTGACATCCGGAGTGGTCGGGCTGGATCCGGAGTAATGAAGGACTCTTGTACTGTCGTTCCGTAAAATCAAGTCTCGGTCTGCACCTCTTTCGAGGTGATTGACGAGATCTGGCTGAATCTGACTGCCTGGCGGAACAACGTTCGCTTCATGCTGGATGTGTGAAATGCCTGGCACCAGATTCCGGACCGGTCTGACTGGCTGGAGGTTGGAGTTGGCGGAGTAGTCCCAGCAGCCGGCAGGCTCCGGATCGAACTTCCCGGCGTAGCGGATGACACCGCATCCGCTGAGAACGACGACAGCGCAGGATGGTCCAAGAGGGGTCGAAACGGCGAAGGCTGCTGCAAGCACACAGAGCGACCTGTGCGCTATCCAAACTTACGCTGTGCCTGGGTGCCACGTCGGAATGTTAGACAGAGCATGCAGACCAAAGAGCAGGACTTCGAAATCAGAAGCCACTGTGCCTCTTGTATGATAGAGTCTCTTCCCTGGCTCGTGCAGACGGAAACAGCGTCTCACACCCTGGCGGAATTCGCGGCAGTGTTGAAACGTAGGACCATTCCCTTTTTTCCATGGAAGTTGCACAGCAGCCTTTCAAAAAGCGCTGAAAATGCCTCCAACAGCTGGGATGCTCTGGCCTTCCCCGTTCACGGTCAGAGACCGTGAGCTACTTAGTCCGTCGGCTGTTTGTCTCCTCTTCGGGTCCTGCCACATGCCCAGACTTGCCTGAGCCACTTCGCTTCCCTCGAGTCTTCTGTAAAACGAAGCTGATGCCGCACCGACACACGCAGGAGTCAAGCGTTCGACTACAGTGGAGTGGCGGGGATCCTGGCACCACGGTTCTCCGATTCGTGGGCTCCAAACTTAGCCGACCGCACCGAAGATTAGATTTGCTGAGTTGGCGCGTAGAGATAATTCGGACAAGGCCAGCAGCGCTATTCCACGGATGGGATCGCAATGGAGCTGGTGCGCCTCATGCTTTTTCAGCGAGGTCGTTCATGAGCTTGTCGGTCATCAGGGGGTTCCCAGAAGCAGTGCCTCTCTTGCTGGTGTAGAGGGTCTTGTACAGACAGGCATGTGTGACAATATTAGTGAAGATGGTGCTTAGAATCGCCTGTAGAATCGGCCGAAGCTGCTCTGGGGTCGCCTGTCTAGACTTCTTGCAGCACTTGAGCTCCGAAGCCCGAGATGCTTCAAGCAGGTGGCCGGAAAGCCGCTCCTTGGAGCGACCGGGGCGCAACAGGTCGCGGGCTCGAGGGCTTTTGCCATTATGCATCCAGCCGACCGGAGGAGATATTTGTTGCAGCTCCTGTTGAAGCTTTGTTCCGAAATGCATGCTGCCGGAGCACTCGTCCCTCGCATGCCAGCAGGAGAGAGCCTTGTAGGAGCTTCTGGGCCCATGTACCGTGACAGGTGCCAGGAGTCTCGCCGACAAAAGAGCAGGGAGAGCCACATTGCGTGAAGCCGCGGGCGCTTCTCTTCTCCTCAGACGGGGCCCCAGAACAGTGATTTGGGTTTTGGGGTGTGGGGTCTACCCTGTCTGGGTTGTGCTGCGGGTGTTTCAGTAGTGAGGCCAGTGAGCTATGATAGATTGTACTGCGAGTTCGGGGTAATTGCAGGGTGAAGCCTCTCTCGATTCAACAGCTTTATCTTGGAGGGCGCTGTGCTCCTGTCCAGCCTAATTCTGGTTCGCATGCCTCTGCAGGTAGGCAACCAATGTCTGTCCGTGGTGGAGACGTGGTCGCATGACCGCAAGTGCAGGGCCCTTTTGTTTTGCGTGGCTTCGAGAAGCCAACTGCCCGTGGCCATAGGCCTTCGGCCTTGGGCCGCTGTTTCTTGCAAGACACGTCGATATGCTCTAATCTGCTCTACTCTACTCTACTCTACTCTACTCTACTCTACTCTACTCTACTCTACTCTACTCTACTCTTCTACTCTACTCGACTCGACTCGACTCGACTCGACTCGACTCGACTCTACTCGACTCTACTCTACTCTACTCTACTCTACTCTACTCTACTCTACTCTACTCTACTCTACTCTACTCTACTCACTCTACTCTACTCTATACTACACTTGATGATAATTTAAAGTCGCAACATAGCAGACGTTACAATGTAACACATCATTGGAATCATGCAAAAAATCTGGATTCCTGCATTGCCTCTTCGAGGCTGCTAAGGTTGCAAGAGCCGCAGGGCCTCGACTTTGATGTGGCGCTGGTGTAGGGAAGCCCAGTCTCGCGGGTTACTCTCAGGATTGCGATACGGGCATGATAGGCTATAGGGCCTATAGGGTTATTCTACGGGCTATCTGCCTGGCTCTGCCGAAGAGTCTGGCCAACAAATCTTTTCCATCGCGCTGAAAAAGGGCCCTACAAGGTTCTACAAGGACTCCTCAGCGCCAGTGCTCGACACGCTGCGGCAATGGGAGCGCTTCCCAGGCGAGGAGTTGGGTTTCGGGGACTGCAAGAGAAGGCGGTCTTTGAGTGAACCCATGCTTAATGCCCACCCGAAGTGATAGTCTGGTGGTCATCTCAGGTCTTTTTCGTCGAACTCCATCTAGTTGCTTCTAGCCAGCTTGTGGGCTGCACTTCAGCCTTGCGCCGCTGGCGCAGGCGTGCAGGTGTTTCAGCATCAAGGCATGCGCCTTGCCTGCAGTCGGCTTGAGGGTGTCAGCGACAACAAGATCGCCGCTGTTGTTTGTTTCTGCCCATGAACTCCTGCGCACGTTTGCGTGTGTATGTCTAATACATACATACACACACATGCATACATGCATGCATGCATGCATACATATGTATAAATCTCTCTCTGTGTGTCTCTCTCTCTCTCTCTCCCTCCCTCGCTCTCTCTCTCTATCTATCTATCTATCTATCTATCTAAATCTATCTATCTATCTATCTATCTATCTATCTATATGTATATATGCACACATGAGGTATATGTGAGCACTACGCCCTGCCAGTACGACTACTGTCAGAGTCTCCTCTCTTCCAGGGGCTCCGTAGAATTCTGCAGAGCTATTTGTTACAAGCGTCATGAAATGCCCGTGCTCGCATGTCCAGGGTCTGGACTCTAGAGAGAAGCACGTTTCCGCATGTGTGTGTAGAGATGTCCATGCGAAATTCACCAGACGCCAAACCTCTTTCCTGCCTTGTGCGAGAGTGAGAATCGAAACGCTACCCCCCAACCCCAAAACCCCAAGCCCCTTCACCTCGCCTGGCTTGTCCGAGTTGTGAGAGGGCAAAGCCCTAAAAGACCCAGGAAGTGGCCGAACTTCCGATGGTGGCTGGAGGGCCAAGGCGGTGCCTCTGCCGTGGCGGCCAAATACGACTCTTTGTCTGTTTTTGCCGGAAGCAGAGGATTTCGGCTTTGAGAGCTTTGGGAAGAGAATCCGAGAAACCGAGAGAGAGAAGGAATCCGAGAGCCAGAGTTTAGAGTGGGCGCGCGCCTTTTTTCGGCTCTGGGTCGCGTGTGCACGCAAAGAGGGATTGGGCAGAGGTGTCAGGAGGGCCGTGGGTTGAGCGCTCGCAAATGTTCATGCAGCTGCATGAGAGGGAGGCCAATGAGGTGCCGCGAAACAGCGCGGGGAAACATCAGACTGTCAAACGAGCTGTTCACAAAGCTTTCGGTGGAGAAGTGCTCAGGACTACATCTGGGTAGTGGATGATGATGTCCGTCTTCCCACCCATGAGACCGCCAAGATGTTTGACATACTGAGACTTGGTGCAAACTTACACTAGAAGATGACTGCACAGACAATTGCCTACTAGTAGGTAGTATCGTCGTTTCCCGTCTCGTGCAAATCCAAGAATCTACATTGCCACGAAGGTCTGCCGCGTTTGACGCGGGTGTTTGAGCACGAACGTTGCTTTGGAAGTGATCTGGTGAGCACGTGCACATCTGAGGCGTGAGCACAGCAAGATCGAGGTTGCGTGCCCTTCTTTCGACAAGGCCCTGCAATCTCCCGTCAGGGTCCGTCACGGTCTGAAAGTTGTGATGCGAGAAGATCCCGTCTTCATTGCAAGGGAAGCGATGGTGTGTGGCGCTTCTTTGACGGGCATGATCCGCGCCCTTCGGCTGCACAGGCCCGGCGTGGCGCCTGCATCCTCTGCAATCTAGGCAGGAACATATCTAATATACCTGGAGTCGGACAGCGTGGAACCACGTAAAAGGATCCTTAACTCGGGATGAGAGATGAACACAAAGAGGGAACCAACCTGCTTGCTTTTCAACCACGTCGCAAGCCAAGGTTTCAAGCTGCGCTTTACCAACTTCGTTGAGTGTGGCTTGGCCTCGTGAGACATCATTGGAGCCATGCGAGCCACACTTCACTCTTCTTTCCTCTTCAACAAGAGGCACCGCGCCAATCCTGAAGAGCACAATGCTCCAGAGCCTCGGCTTGGAAAAGGATGATACGCATGTGCGTGCAGACGAGTGTTTGGGTTTAGGGCATGCACTTGTCTCAAGTCTCCACGGACTTGAAAACATCCTCAGGAATCCACGGTTCCAGCCGTGCTTGCGAGCTGTTCGAACAGGCTGCACCGCGAGTATAGTGCAATGTCGAGACAGAGACACCGAGCGCCCCCAAAAGGCTGCTTCATTGACTTCTGCTTCCATCCCGCAGCTGGTGGGGGTGCGGATGTCGTGGCAGCAGCTTAGCAGCGTGCAGCGGGTGGTGAGCCTGGACGGCTTGGCAGACGGTCCAAGAGGGAGGGGCCGTTTTGAGTGGTTGATCGGGGGAGCACGGCTGGTGACTCAGGGCGTTTGACCGCTTTCATTGCACCAGCTTTGCGTGAACTCTTGCGGAAGTCAGGTCATTGATGCAGTGCAATGCCATCATCCTCCGAGGACTCGGCTTTTGACTGCAGGTGCCCGATTTCGCACGGAGTTCGGTCAGTCATGAATCTTCTCAAGGCTCCGCCCGGCGAATCTTCTTTGAGAGTTGTGACTCCGCAGGACAGCAGACCACCCCAGTGAAATGCGGCAGGTGCAGGCAACCTCGGTTTTGCAGAGCAGCGGAAGTTGAGAAGATCGGGAACCTGGTGCTTTTATGCATGGGTACCTCTTGTCTTCAAAACCACCTTTGCCAACATAGCCTGCAGATGCCTGCAGGCTTGGCACGACCACAAGAATGACGATGTTCTCTTCGAGAAGGCAGAGCCGCCGAGCTACTGTCTCGCGTGCTGAAGTAGAGGATGCATTTTTGGGAGGCAAAGAGCACTCCATTCTTATTCTTTGGAGTCTAGAGTAGTTCTTCGTGTTTTGGACACCTCAGCCTGCCCCAGCCACTTGCCAGGAGGGCGTGCCCAAGGAATGGTGGTCCATCGAGCCACGTTTCTTTCAACCGAAGGCGCTTCAGCCCAAATGATGAGTTGTCTGCTCAATGTTATAACAGTGGGTCTCAACTGTACATGCTGTTCTAGTTCGCTGAAGATGCTAGGCTGATCTAAGAGGTTCCCTCAATTCGCTCACGTCGAGGTGCTAGGTGCCATTCCAGCGACACCATAGTGGGCATCATCAGCCATGCGCGCTCTTCGTTTCCAAAGGCCAGGCGAGTAGCAGCAAGCTTAGCAAGTCATGCTGTATCAAATGTTAAGCGATGTGGAAAGGTCAGTCAGTGATGCTAGTACTCGTAGGCTGAAAGCTACATGTTTTTCACGCCACTTGGGCCTTGCTCCCTGAGCAGGCGCGCCAGCCCCGTGCCCGAGCTTGAGCTGGCGCCAGTCGTCACTTCGTTGAGTTCGAAGCCTTCGGCTTCGACTTCGACGGCCTCAGGAGCCGTGCACAGGACTCGCAGGACCTCGACGAGAGCAGCATGCCAGGCGGAGACGGAGAAAGTAGGAGGAGCCTTGGCCTTGGCTCCAGCGAGCAAATGGCATGATAAGTCAGGGATCTTGATGCGCGGTAAGGGGAGAGGCGCGATCCATTGGATGTCAAAAAGGAGTCGATTCGGAACTTTTTGCACATGGCTATAACCTGCACTCGAACTGAGTTGTTGTCTGTATTGTCGGAGCTCCTGTCAGGCTTCAAAACATCCGCAAGAATGGACACAAGGAGGCGCTTGAGTCGTGTGCGGGATTGACCAAGAAGGGTTGGTTGTCGGTTGGAGCCTGACTGCGTGGATACCGAATCCCGCTATGTGAGGCCTGGATGATGTGGGACGGGCAGATGAAAGGGCCCCCTGGCCGCTCAGGGGTTTTCCCAGCCAGTGCTCCGCCAAGATGTTCCGGGTGTTGGCATTGCGTTACCAGTGCCGTCATGTTATCGCTGTTGCCAGAATGGCGAGTCTTGCGACCAGCAGTATTTACACTATTTCTCTCACCAGAGTGACTGTTGTTTCTCGTCTTATGACCGATTGCTATTCACCATCATGACCAGTGAGCTTGCTTCTTTATGTGATCGCTTGCGATGCTAGGCTGCCGGTCCTCCTGCAGCCCGTCATGCTCTTGGTGCGCGCGGGGGCCGTTGCTATTCTGTAAGCATAAGTATATGCAAACCAACATATGCCCCTGTACTTGTGCATGCAAACACTCGCAGACACACATATGCGTAAATGTGCACCCACTGACCGACCGACCTACCGAGGACATGCATACATGCGTACCTGCATACATACATACATACATACATACAGACAGACAATGGTGCATGCATACACAGTACATGTGCACACACCTATGTACATGTGTGTATATGTCTGTCTGTCTGTCTGTCTGTCTGTATGTACGTATGTATGTATGTATGTATGTTTGTGCTTACATGCTTACACACATACTTACACATACATACATACATGCATACATACATATACATACATACGTACAGACAGACATACATAGATCCTGCATATACATATGCCCAGGCACACACACATACATATGTATGTATGTATGCATGTATATGCATATATGTATTGAACTAGAAAACATAGCATGAACATACGTATACAGACAGGGTTGCGAACATGAATACATTATGAACAAAAGGGTACTGTTTCCCGCCTCGCTCTCTCAGCCCTCTCTGTCTCTCCCCCCCTTCCTCTCTCACTCTTTTCCTCTCTCTCTCTCTCTCTCTCTCCGTGTCTCTCTCTGTCTCTCTCTCCCTCTCTCTCTGTCTCTCTCCCTCTCTGTCTCTGTCTTTGTGTCTCTCTCTCTCTCTCTTTTTCTCTCTCGCTCGCTCGCTCGCTCAGTGGCGTCGGACCATCTCCATCTCCATCTCCATCCGCCTACCTCTCCCTGCTGTTCCGATGTTTCCAGCTTGTCAACTTGCCGATCTGTCAGTCTGCCGAATGTGCTCGCATCCAAGTTGTGAAGGCACATTTTCTTCGTCATTTTCCACTTGCTCGAACAGGTGACATCTTCCGCTGGTCTCATCCCTAAGCAACAGTGATGGTTAGAGATACCCGTTGCTAGCCGGCCTGCTGCCGAAACAGGATCGCCTCCTTGCATACCGCCATAGTGTGTGGCCCTGAGCCAGAATCAGCTATGCGAGCCAAGATTCGAAATTCACGTTGAGAGTTCCGTGCTGCCAAGAAGATGCTGGCCCTGAAAATGGTGGAGCAGAGCCCTGCGAAAGTAAGGATGTGACGTTGCCCCGGGAGGCAGTGTCCTGGACAGCTTCGGAGGCCTTCTTCTCGTGTCTTGGGATACCTTAGGATAATTGGGCTTACGTACGTTGGGCCTAGGTACATGGAAGCGCGAGTTTCTGCCAGTTCGGTTCAAGGGGCTCAATCATCGTGTGTCGGAGGGTCTGTTCTTCCGAGTTCTTCCCATGCTTCACGACCTACTTCACACTTGAAAGAAGAGGCATTCTTGAACGGTCTCTGGACATGTCATGTGCCTTTCCGACTCCAGATTCACCGATGAATCTAGAGCTCACATCCATGGAACAAGCTGCCTCGCAAGTGACTGCCACTCCCCACCTCCTGGCCCTACCTGCCTCATTCAATGATTGAGAGAGAGCCACCATGCGGGATGGGCAGGTGGACATCTTCCTTGGCTTCTTGGGCTGCACTTGGCTGTGGAATCTTCCCGGTATGACAACCCTGCAGCCGTGTCGCTGAGATGCATGGCCATGATTAAAGAAAGGGTACAAGGAGCCACAAGCTTACGCCACTGAACCCTGAAGCCCGCTCGAGGCAGTTTGGGGTTCATCCGTCCGGGTCGTGAGTCTGCACTGATGAGAAGCACGAAGCGGCCCGGATCTTGGTTGACAGCTGATGCGAGCTGGGTGGAGAATGGTGGGAAGATGATCTGGAGAGCGCCAAGTCGTTCCTTAGTCCTTGACAGTGTTCAAAGAACCATTCCAGGCTTGTTCGCTCCATCCGTGGTGGCTACAAGCCCCTGGAATTCCGTCGGGGTGCGCAGCTTCTTTGGAACACCAGTCTTTGCTTTGGCATGTTTCTGCTGCCCTATGCTGCCGTATCCTTGAGGCGTGGACCATGATGGCAAAGAGAGCGGCGTATTTTCGGGCAGCGACATCACCCAAGGTGGGATGCTTAGGTCATTCCCAGAAACAGGTGTTCCCTGGAGGGCCCGTGCAATAACAAGAAATCGGTCTTACCCCACCGGTAGTCGCTCCTCTGGCGAGGTGACTTGGTCGAGGTTTGCCCGTTGCACGAGGCCTGGTTCACAGTTTGATGATTCTTGGGCTTAGTTCTGCATTCTGGATGGTTAAGATTTGTCTTTTCCCGCCGTCGTCGCGACGTCCCAGATGGCATGGTCTTCGCATGGCACGTAGTCGCCGCAGGTCCCTGCGAAGTTGAGGGCCATCAGCCCGGTGCTGCAGCGCATCACGGTGCGCCCCCATCTCGTGTGTTTAGGGATGCTAAGCCCAGAAGACCAAGACTGTTCCAAGGCGAACGTAGCTATCGCTGACCTGGGCAGCTCCGGATTGCAGTCTTGAGCAGTTGTTGGCGTTGCTGTTCAAGCGGACACCTAACGATGATCATGATGTTGTTGGTGTGATATGTGATGATGACGACGATGTTAATTGTGAGGGTGATGGTGGTGATGCTGATGGTGGTTGGTGATGGTGATGATGATAAGGATGATGAGGATGACACCAGAAGCCACAGCCCTGGTGCCAGATACCGATGAAAATGGATGAGCAACGGTTTGCCATCGTGCTGGGCTTCGGAAAGGTGCGGCACCTGTACTTCAGCTGGGACGAACAAGCTTTGTCCCTGAGTCTAGAGTCCGCACTCAAATCACTCATACGACCTTTGCTCTGAGAGCTGTGGTTGCCTACCCAAGCCGCACGCACAAGTGAAAAGCATCTGGCTCAAAGTAAGCTGGGTGATGCCGTGCTCATCATAGAGACCTGCCGGCGATGCGATCCACTTGACTCCAAGTCCAACTTCTCGGCAAAGGACACTAGCAACGCCGACTTAATACAATGCTTGCCCATTTTATGCCCGAGATTGGCATGCCACTTGGCCAAGGGAGTGCATCACCTTGGGGCCTTTGCTGAATCAGAGGGTGCCGGAGCTCAAACCCCGAATGCCATGGAGCGCCGGCTAGTTTGAGCCAGCCCATGCTTCCGCAGCAGGCATTTCATGTGCTTTGAGTCCCCTTGGCGGGTTGAGGCTAATTTAAAGGGACCGAGCATATCAGATGCACGGCATGGCCGGTCGCCTCCCGCACCCAAGGGCCTTGTCATGTGAGCACCGGAACTGTGAGAAGAGGGATCATGATACTAATTATATGCTGAGGATGCAACAAGAAGATCACGAGCGCAAAGATTCTTTCTGAAAATCTGATGTATGGGCCGGAGACTGGAGCAAGCACATGCCTTGGGCACTCCACAGCAGGCACCAGGGAAGGCCGCTCCAGCGCCTCCGGCGCCAGCGTCGCAGCGCGAGTTTCTGGCGTTAAAGGCGGCAGCATGCAGCCGTAGGATGGCGGACACTTTTGGTGTTGCTGCTTTTACGTCCTCGTTGAGTGGGGTCTTGTTGGAAGAAGCTTCTCGGTCTTTTGGCTTGAGGTGTCCTTCGGTGATGAAGGCCCCAAACATCCGATGTCTTGCTTCGGGGTTCCTACAGTTCCTACAATCAAAGGGTTTGCCATGTGGTGTTGTTGGACATGCTACAAGATCATGTAATTTGCCGTCTGGGAGAACCAGTTTGAACTCGTAGTGCATGAAGCTGTTTGTTTCGTGATTTGTCATGCTCTCCGGCGAGCCTTCGCATTGCACTCGCGGCTTTTTCGGCCCAACGGTCCACTGCGATTAGACGCCGAAAAGGGCGGCCCGGCGGAGGCCCCGGCCTGGGTCATGTTGTGATGTCTTGTGCCTCGAAGAGGAGACACTCCGATGAAAAGCTCTGGGGTAGCCCGAATCGGGGTTGCAGTTCTGGAAGCTGATCCCAACGGAGGCTCTCTGCGCCCAGATGACCGTGCCAAAGCACCCTGCACGGAGCTGCAGGGGGGGGGGGGTGCTCCAAGTGCTGAGGTCAACATCTACCCTTCCACCCTGGGGGGGGGGCCCTAGGACTTCACAGAGCGGGATGC